CGCGAACGGCGAGGTCCTCTACGGGGTTAAGTGGGTCGGATACGGGTGTCCGACCTGGGAGCTCGAAAGTGATCTCTGGATGCATGGCTATCTTCTTGCAGCTTACCACGATACCATCCAGACCAAGGTACCGACCGAGGCGTTTGTGGTAGTCGGAACATGACATCCCCAGGACCACTCCGTGGCCTCTGTAGTTTGTACAGTCCGGAGTCGGTCTCAGATCGCACTTGACGGTTTCAGCGCATAAATGCTTCTTGGTTCCTCTCGAACAGCGACACGATGTCAAGGTCGCAGTATGTACTTGGCAGCGAATGAGAACCATCTATATCAAAGGCACATGGCGAAAAGGGCTGGCCATGAGTATCTTTCGTTGTGACCGAACATGATACATATTCAGCTGTATCCAGTATCTGATCAAAGCGGTTAACCCTCCAGTGGGAATCGGTGCCATTCTTGTTGCTTCTCTGATTCTGCCCGTCGCATGTTTCCGCCATCCGTCAGTGCTGAATCAGCATTGCAGAGGCTGTGAAAGTGGGTTTTGTATTGCAGCATAAATGCATTCATTCTGTGCCGAATCACATCAAGATTATGATCCTAGACAATATCGCAGCTTTGGGACGTCGTCTGCCGCAGCTCAGGTTAGTAATCACTGGACCGGATTCGGCTTTGAAGATAGAGACTCAAGTAATGGTCCCGAGAGATACAGTATTGATCATATATTGCTTCCTCTTTGCAACACAGTTCATCTTCCTGAATTTGATCAACACAGGCTATGCCCAAAGTCTTTCTTACTGTGTACACGCCATCATGATTACCATGAGGAAAATGGCTGCTGCTGAAGCCGGTTATGGATACTTTGGAGTAGCTCTTGATTACGCGCTGCCTCTCGCACTGTCGTGAACCCCCCCAACCCCACATTTTGGTTTGCGAACCAACCGCTACAGCCATTACCAGAGGTTTGGAGGGCCCATCACAGCAACTTTCGGCTTCTCAAACTTTGAGAATATTTGTGAGAAAGCAAGTGACTTACATATGTTCAATACATACTGTAGTACTGTACAGTAATGTGCACATGTCACTTCCTCTTTTGCAAACATTAACAATGTTTGAGAAGCTGAAAGTTGCTGTGATGAACCCCTGTAAACCTCTGGTAATGGCTGTGGCGACTTGTTTGCAAGCAAAATGTGGGGTCGGGATCGTTAGATACAGTGCGGGTAACAGCACGTATTCAAGAGCTACTTGAAAGTATCCATAACCGGCTTCCACAGCTGCCATTCTCCCACTGTCAATCATGGTGATGTGTACATAGTGAGGCTGACTTTCGGCGCAGCCTGTGTGGGTCAAGTTCAGAAAGATGAAGTGTGTTGCCAAGAGGAAGCAACATATGATCAATACTGTACATGTCCCGTACGGGGATTCTCGCCCACGTAGCGCGCCTACGTATCGACGAGTACATAACTTGAGCATTCAGATCCTCACGACCTTGAGATGAAACCAGACGCCAGTACTCTTCCCGTCGCAGCT